GCATGGACTTCTTATGCCTCCATGGTGCTGTCATCAACCTAAAAATGAAGTCGATAACGTTAACCACAGAAGAAGCACTACCGCCGCGCACGCCGTCAGGACACCATGCCTTGAATGTGCTGGAAGAACACGTCACCATTCCGCCTCGCTCAAGCGTCATTATTTCAGTCGGTGCTCCTAAATCACCTGACTTGGAAGGCGTCGATGAAGGCAGTCAGCATCTGTTGGTCACCCGAAATATTTGCGTCGCAAGAGGAATTGCAGAGCTGCGGGGAGGCAAAGCAACGGTTATGCTCAGGAATTTCAGCAATGAGTACAAACATGTGAACAAAGGAACAACGGTCGCATACATCAAAGAAATTGTTGAAGCCACCAGTGCCTTCGCCCTCGACGATTCTGCGGAACCTGCTCAGAGGAACCAAGCCCCTCCCATAGCTTTCGACGTCAATTCCAGACTTCCGAACGATAAGCAAGCACAGCTCAAGGCCCTGCTCCTGCAATATGAAGGTTGCTTTTCGTCGTCATCGATAATTCGACAGACCCCAATCACGAAACATCGCATCATAACCGAAGAAAATGCCAGACCACTCCGTCAGAGTCCGTACAAGGTTTCGACGCGAGAACGTGAGGCCATGAAGAGACAAGTTGATGAAATGCTGCGGGATGACATTATCCAGCCGTCCAAGAGCCCATGGGCGTCCCCCGTGGTGTTAGTGAAGAAAAAGGATGGGACCCTACGTTTCTGCGTCGATTATCGCTGCCTGAACAAAATCACAAGAAAGGACGTGTATCCTCTCCCACGAATAGACGACGCACTTGATGGGCTCCATAACGCCAAGTACTTTTCGTCAATGGACCTCAAGACTGGCTATTGGCAAATCGAAGTAGACAAAAGAGACCGAGAGAAGACGGCGTTTATAACACCGGACGACCTCTTCGAGTTTAAGGTGATGTCCGGCCTTTGCTCAGCGCCTGCAACTTTTCAACGCGTTATGGATACAGTACTCGCAGGATTGAAGTGGCAGACTTGCCTTGTGTACTTGGACGACGTTGTCGTGTTTTCCTCGAGTTTCGACGAGCATCTTCGGCACCTTGAAGCTGTACTTCAAGCCATCAAGACGTCCGGACTCACACTGAAGCCACAAAAGTGCAGATTTGCGTATGAGGAGCTCTTATTTCTGGGGCACGTTATCAGCAAGTCTGGAGTTCGTCCCGATCCGCGGAAAACAGCCGCCATCGCCAACTTCCCGCCGCCCACTGACAAGAAGGCCGTGCGCCGATTTCTGGGCCTGTGCGCCTATTATAGGCGGTTCGTGAAAAACTTCGCCCGCATCGCCGATCCTCTCACTAACCTTACCAAGGCCGACGTGGAATTCAAGTGGGAAACGCCACAGGAACACGCTTTCCAGGAGCTTAAACATCGCCTCCAGACGCCTCCGTTACTTGCCCATTTCGACGAATTCGCCGAGACAGAAATACATACTGACGCAAGCAGCGTAGGTCTTGGCGCCGTTCTAGTGCAGACGGCTGACGGACTTGAAAGGGTTATTGGTTACGCCCGCCGATCGCTATCCAAAGCAGAAGCAAATTATTCCACAACAGAAAAGGAGTGCCTCGCCATCATCTGGGCTACGTCGAAATTTCGCCCCTACCTCTACGGCAGGCCCTTTAAAGTTGTGAGCGACCACCACGCCTTGTGTTGGCTAGCCACCTTGAAGGACGCTTCAGGTCGCCTCGCACGATTGAGCCTGAGACTTCAAGAATATGACATTACTGTCATTTACAAGTCCGGCAAAAAACACTCCGACGCCGACTGTCTCTCTCGTGCGCCTGTCGACCAACCGCTACCTGACGACCCGAATGACGACTACTTCTTGGGAAGGATAACTACAGACGACTTCGCTGAACGACAGCGGGCCGACCTGGAACTTAAGGCCCTATTAGAATACCTCGAAGGCAGGACCGCCGAAGTGCCGAAGGTATTCAAGCGCGCACTTGCGTCGTTCTTCCTACGAAACGATCTTCTACAAAAGAAAAACTTTTCACCGCTTCGAGCTAAGTACCTCCTTGTGGTGCCTTCAGCTCTGCGACCAGAACTCCTGCAGGCCCTACACGACGATCCGACGGCAGGGCACCTCGGTGTTTCTCGCACGCTCGCGAGGATACAAGAAAGGTTCTACTGACCACGTCTTACCACTGACGTAACTCGTTATGTGAGGACATTCCGAGACTGTCAGCGACGCCAGACACCGCCGACAAGGCCAGCTGGACTTCTGCAGCCAATTGATCCACCTTGCCGACCTTTTCAGCAGATTGGTATGGACCTACTAGGGCCGTTCCCGACGTCGGCTTTCGGAAACAAGTGGATCGTGGTAGCTACCGACTACCTCACCCACTACGCCGAGACAAAAGCCGTGCCAAAAGGCAGTCCATACGAGGTAGCTAAGTTCTTCGTCGAAAATATCGCCCTACGTCACGGCGCCCCGGAGGTCCTTATCACCGACAGAGGAACGGCATTCACTGCCGACTTGACTCAAGCGTTCTTGGCATACAGCCAAACAAACCACCGCCGGACGACAGCGTACCACCCACAGACCAACGGCCTCACCGAGCGGCTTAACAAGACGAACGCCGACATGCTGTCAATGTACGTCGATGTCGAACCCAAGACGTGGGACGCCATTCTTCCGTATGTGGCCTTCGCATACAACACGGTGGTGCAGGAGACGACGCAGATATCTCCATACAAGTTGGTCCACGGAAGGAGCCCGGCAACGACGCTCGATGCCATGTTACCCAACGTCACCGACGAAGAAAGCCTCGATGTGAGCGAGTACCTTCAACGTGCCGAAGAAGCCCGACAACTTGCGCGTCTCCGTATCAAGAATCAACAGACGCTAGACAGCCACCGTTACAACCTTCGACGACGCTTCGTGGAATACCAGCTCGGTGAACGTGTTTGGGTGTGGACGCCGATACGCCGATGTGGACTAAGTGAAAAGCTTCTGCGACGCTACTTCGGACCGTACAGGGTGGTTCGACGTCTCGGCCCACTTGATTACGAGGTTGTCCCCGACGGCATCACGAACTCTCAACGACGCCGATCGCGACCTGAAGTCGTATATGTCGCGCGCCTCAAGCCGTTTCATGCGCGTTAACAAACTGAAACGTGTTTTTTTTTTTGTATTACTGTTTCATCGTAATTTATTCATTGCACTTTCTTGCATTATTATTGTACCTTCATCTTTAGTTAAAGCATCGGGACGATGCCTTTTCTTCAGAGGGGTGCAATGCCAGGTTCCATCTCCCAAGTTTTCGTTATCGTCCCAAAACACCACACAATTCTCAGCGCAAACCGCGCCTGTAGTTTTCCAGAAGGTTCCGGACTGTAGTAGATCATTTCGATAAGATCACGCCCACTGTGCGAACGGTACAGATTGTTCTGGAACCTACGCCACCGCCAGCAATAACGCTAGAACATTCGATGGCAAGAGTATAAATGCCGACGCGCTTCGCCACTTTTCAGTAGTTGTTGATCGAAGGCCGACGCTCTGTTCGCCGCTATCAGTCCGAGACTGCTATCTGTGCGAGACTGCTTCTGTAATTGGACTTTCATTTTACCGGGCACAGGTTCACCCAAATAAACAGTTAAATCCTAACACGAAGTCTCCTGTCTTCGGCCACGTCACGACCCCGTGAGCAATATGACTATGAGAGACGTTGTAGTGGAAAACTCCGGATATTTTAACCACCTGGGGTTCTTTACCGTGTACACAAATCTGAGCACACAAGCCTATAACATTTCCGCCTCCATTGGAAATGCGCCGCCATAACCGGGATTGGATCCCGTAACCTGCGGGTCAGCAGTCGAGCACCTTAGCTACTAGACAACCGCGGCGGGGCGCAGTAGAGGCTGGTAATCTGCCCCAGATTCTCGGCAATTTTTGTACACTGTATTTTTTAAGTGGTGAATTATGAAAAAAACTGGGCGTCTTGACATTAGCGGCACATCATGCGTGGAGGCCAGTAGTTTTTATATTATGAAGATGCAAGGTTTAGTTAGAAACAAAATTCGTGTATGTGTTTAAACTCCGAACCGTGAAGCGCAACGACGTGTTTCTTTTTACTCCCCTCCATCTTTTTTTTAATAAGGCAGCGAGCATGGCCCGACGTAGCCTAATAGTAGAGTGCCCGCCTTTTTATCTTTAGGTGGCGAGTCGAACCCCGCTGTTATTTTTGTTATTCTCTGTCTCATTTTTTTCGCTATGTTTGTCGAGCCTCTAGTTTACTCGAGTATACAGCAATTTGTTTGCGCCGTAAACAAACTTGTGGCGACGCGTTGGATGTTGCTGCTTTTTCTTGCTTCGAAAGATCCGCTAGTGGCGCTCGGGAATGAAACGTTCATGATCACACAAACATGCTTTTCTATCCCTGGACCTACTACCATTAAATTGACCGTATTAAAGTTACATCTTGGGCGTGTATGGTCAGATGTTACGAGCCAGTTCTATTGCTTTGTGGCATCAGGTAACATTCAAGCACTAGATATTACTCCGTCTGCAAGGACAGGGGCCAGGCCCCACTCACGCCTCGTCGGCACGGGGGTTGCATAGATTAGGACCTCTACCTGAGTAGCACAGATTTCACAGTATCTTTTACTCTGCCTTCAAGGAAAGAGTAAGTTCCGCGGCCAACTCTTCCCTACTCCCTCGAGGTTTAAGTGAACTCTGGGGACAGTAACACAAATTCTGTGAGTGTATGCAATTCAGTCTGCAACAGCGCCAAGTAACGATGGCCGCATACGATCACAGAATGTGGCAGCTTACTACGGCAGCTGAGCCTCCTGAGGTGGTCTGCACCTAAACATATACCTTATCTTGCAGTTACTTAGGCTGCTCAAGCGCTGATGCTACATTACTTTAGGTGGTCGTTACAGACACAAAAAACAACTTAGTTATAACGCAACAGGATAAACTTTGAATGTTTTACTCTCTACGCAGGTTGTGGCCAGATCATGCCAGCGCTCACAATAACTTGGGGACTGTGCTGACGTCAGCTGAAGAATCTGAACGTCACTTCCGGTTTGCCTTGCACGTCAATCCGAACCACCCAGGGGCCCATTTTAATCTCGCCAATATCTACAGGTATGTGTGTCAACATTTAAGGTGACTTTTTTGATGAAGCACTGGTATGCCGGAAATCTATGAGGCAAACAAATTAGGTTCGTTCATTTGTAAACGTTACTTACCCACGTTTATTGCCCATAGTGTCGTGCATAGGTACGTCCTAAGTATTTGATTCGTGCATTACAAAACAAATATGTTCGTTGATTTTTGACGTGCAGCAAGCAAGGCCAGAAGGAGGTTGCCCGCACCCTCTTGGAGCGCGCCGTTGAGCTTGATTCCGCTTTCTGCGAGGCGTATTCATCCCTTGCTGCACTGGCCGCCGAAGAAGGCGACATCGCTGAAGCCGAGAGGCTTCACAAAATGGCGTTAAGCAGTGACGACCGAAACGCCGACGCCCGGAACAACTATGGAACATTCCTGCAGTCAATCGGTGAGGACCGCTTTACACCGACTTACACACCTATATATTACATAAAAATCGTGTAAAGAAAATACAGTTTCATTTATTAGCCTAGTCAGCAAATAATTTATTATTGCTTCTTCTTACCGACTATCCCCTGGTCAAACATGCTTTCTCTTATACGAACCACTACTGTAACGCGTATTGCTTTTTCGTGCTCTGATCTCAATTTGTAGGTGAATGAAAAAGCAAGACACGTTTGGACATATATCTTGAGGATTGCATTCTTAGTTGGTATGTCATCTGTCATTATTAAACATTCATTTGTTTCTTTCATTGGCTTCAGAAAGGACAAATTTTCGAGTGGCATGACGTGTTCAGTTCTCATGTAGTATGTGTATGGATAATTCAAAATGGCAGATTCCACGTACATTGAGAAATAATGATATGTAAAGCATGAATGAGAAAGGTTAATATGTAACTTTAAAACCAGCACAACGTTACGAGGTTGAGGTGAAATATCCCATACATGACTTCCATGTCATGATTATCATATTTGGACGTGTCATTTACCTTCGTCACCTATTCACGTCACAGTATACCAAATTTGGTATATGTGGAGCTAGGGAAACAGCCGCGAGCGCGCGATCAGCGTAGCTCGTAATCATGATTTACATGACCCAGATCTCATGATTATCATTTTGCACCAGTAATAAGCTTTTGTCGTCCATTCACGTCCCGTAATACAGAATTCGGTATATGCCAAGCTAGCTAAATGGTGGCGAGTGCATCAGGACGGGCCAAATATGCTCCGACGCAAAGATGACGCGCGCGCTTGCTGGGTGCAGCGACGCTACGCTAGGAAAACGCGAGCACTTTAATCTGACGCAAGGTGCGACCAGCGCCTGTCAGCGCGGCCCGGCGGCAACCGGCCCAAAATGCGACATGCTGCCGTTCGCGCTGACGACGTTACTCAGAGAGCACCTCGTCCGCCTCTCTTCGTGACGGAGGGACGCCGGGCGTGTTCAAACGCGCATGCGTCAAAGCAATGAAGCGCAGCGCGCGCCTGCGAGTATATGGCAGGCAGATCGGTGCCTCGCGTGACAACGCCGGCGTGGTGCGACAAAATGAACTCCTGCGCGCATGGGTGCCGAGTCACGTCGATGTGTGTTGGCGTCTTGAATGTTGCATAAATTCATGATTTTATATGGCACGCATGACATGATTATCATGTTTGGACGCGTAATTTACCAATTTCGTTTGTTGTCGTCACGTAAGCGCTGTATTTGGTACATGTGAAGCTAGCCAAATGGTCTCGAGCACATCATGAGCGTGGTATGTAGTCATGTTATTACATGTAGCTCAAAGTCGCTGAAGTTCGCTCAAAGTCGCCGAAGGTGAAAGACGTTCAAAGTCGCCGAAGTTCACTATGAAATGCTTCGCACTTAAAACACTTAATAGGCAGAATTTAAGCTGAGTTCTTTTGGTACACGCTGTGCTTTTCTCCGCTGTTATTCCAGTAGCTGCATGTATTTTCTCTACAGGACGCACCGAAGAGGCCGTGACGCAGTACCAACAAGCTCTCGAGATTCAGAAAAATCACACCGTGGCCCTCTTGAACGCAGCTAGAAGCCTTCGCAGCATGAACCTGAATATGCAGGCCGAGAGCCTCTACAAGAGGTAAGCTACCAGGTTACATTTGCAGCTGAGCGTGACGTTAAATGATACTATAAATGTTTAGTTTATTTTGTGGCCACATTTTACTGGCGGGACATTACCGGTTACGTAAAATTACTCGGTAGATGAAGCGTTCATTGGTAACTCGGCCCATTTGTAGCTTATATATTATACACTAATGCACCGATAACCGTAAATAAGACGCATCTGCGCAATTGCAAAAAAACTTCCCACTTATTATATCGCGTAACCAATTCCACCTACTGAGCCAGGCAGGGCCTTCAAACGAGTGAGCCCCGATAAAAACACTATGGTAAACGAAAAAAATCTCATGTATTATAAAACGTGGGCAAATATAACCGGGGCTATTCTAGTTCATTTGCCGGGACTTGGAGAAAATTTTGGTTCAAAAAGCTTCACAGAGTGTTCGCTTTCCAATGCTTGCTGCCTCTGGTAATGCTCTTAATTTGCAGTTCATTTTGATTTTTCCCGGTCTCGTCAATGTAAAGGCTATAAGATCACTTAAGATGTAAACTCCTTATAAGATGCTCACAATAAATCTGTAGCCATTCGAGCCGCCGTGCATCCGCTATTACGAAAGCACCCAGGCGCTGGAATCCGTGAAGTGCTTCATATGCGGTAGTTCGGATAACACTTTTGTCGGGTTGTTGTTAGGTAACACTGTGGTCGCAATTTTTTTTTTCGCATATGAAAGGTAGAGCCGGTGAGGGGCGGCTACCACTACATGACATTACACATAACTGGAAGCGAACTTCTCATCCATATTTATGCATTCTCTTATTGTTACTATACGAGCCCTGTCTAATATTTTTGTAGCCTACTTTGTCAGGGTCATTTTTGCACCATATTAACTTACATCAACAATGTTAGCGCATAGCTAACTTAAGGCACTCGCAACTGATAAAAAAACATGTACGTTTATTTGAAGGAGTACCATCATACACGAGGTGTTCAAGAACACCATACATATATTACGTGCAGCTATAGGTATAGGGGCTTACTATTCACAGCGTTAATGACGCTATTAAGTTTTTTTCTGGTCTTCTTTACCGCACAGGGCCCTCGCTCTTGAGCCTGATCCACAGGTGATGGACAACCTTGCCGTGTTCTACGTGAATGCCGGCCGTGTGAATGAGGCGAGACAGCTGTTTGAAGAAATTGATCGGCTCTTCCCGGAACACCACGACAGCAAGGTTCACCATGTGAGTGGCAAACGGGAAAAAATGATTTCAAATATTGAAGTAACCGGTTTTACATCCAGTATATTGGCATCGTCAAGCACTGGCGCTGGCTCGTCTTCGCGTGACACAAACGTCAAACTAAAATCAGGACACCATTTCTGCTACATTTTCAATAGTAACATACTTATGCAGACGTTTCTTGCCGTTTCAGTGTCCACATTGGTTCGTGATGTTGTAAAGACGCAACTACGGGTGGTATTCGATTGCGCATTTTGCATGTTTGTATTGTAATTATAAGAATGCTGCAACATACCATATATATATATATATATTGACGCAAGGCGAACGCAGTATTCAAACTACGCGCGCTAGTTCGTGCGCCCCCCCCCCCCAAGAGATCAGCGGCTTGATGATCAAACAAGAAAAGGCCGTGACGGCGCGCGCTTCCTAAGCACGGGATTTTGATGAAAAAGAAGTGGACCACCGCTCGAGGGTTTTTTTTCTCTCGGAGATTGACCCTTTTTTGCTGATTGCCTGTAACAGACGCCGCTACTTTTCGGGCACAAGTTCGCCCCAATAAACAGTGATTCGTACACCATTTGGATTGTACGTAACAATTCTGGTGGAAGTGCTGGGTAATGATCCCAAACCCAGTTGGACTTCGAGGAAGCAGCCCGAAACCACCAGCAGTCGAACCAACTTAGCTCACGCCAGTTCATCAGCGCTCCAGCCGTCGTCTACGTGGTAAGCCGCCGGAATTTCCCCTGCCACGAGAGCCCAGAGTGTCTCCACGTGTCTCCGGTGAGAGTACCGAAATGTCGTCTCCAACCGCTGCCGCACACGCCGTTTCGTCTCCAGTCGCTGCCACGCACGTCGTTGTCGATGAGCCACGGACGCCGGACCCTTTTCATGGCGATCCTCATGAAGACGCCGAGGATTGGCTGGAGGGTTTTGAGCGCGTCGCCAACTGCAACGGATGGCCCGAAGAACGGAAGCTCCGCCGAGTTTATTTCGCATTGCAGGACAGCGCACGAACGTGGTTTGAAAACCATGAAGGTACCATTCGATCGTGGGATGATTTCCGACGGGAGCTACTGGCCACATACCCGAGTACAGACCGCAAGGAAAGAGCTGAAGCTGCCTTGCAGGCAAGAAACCAGCGCAACAATGAAAGCGTCGCAATGTATGTGGAAGACATGTGCCGGTTATTCCGCCGGTCTGATCAAAATATGAGCGAGGACAAGAAACTTCGGCACCTGATGCGTGGGGTGAAGCAGGATATTTTTGCCGGTTTGCTCCGATGTCCCCCGCGGAACGTCGCTGAATTTCGCTCCGAGGCGACAGCGGTTGAAAAGACTCTGCAACAGCGAGCGAGGCACTACAATCGAGATGTTAACGTCGCATCCGTAGACGCGGTGTCAGCAGTCTTCGGGAATGGCATCGACGTATTACGAGAGCTCATTCGATCGGTGGTTCGAGAAGAGCTCCCGAAGCTAAACGGCAACCCCTCAACGGTCTCGTCTTTAGGGGAAGTTGTTCGGGAGGAGGTGAGACAGGTAGTCCGTGAGCAGCAGCCACAAGCCCAGCCTTTTCAAGCGTCAGTTCCGATGCAGCCCGCAGTCTCGTACGCCGAGGTACTGAGAAACACCCCTGTACCTCATTTCGTCGCCCCTGGACCTCCTTTCGCCGCCCCTAGACCTTATTTCGCCGCAGCAAGCACGCATCTGCCGAAACCTCGATTTACGCCGTCCCCAGCCAAGACTAGGATCCGAAAAGCTGATATATGGCGCACTCCTGATCGAATTCCGCTTTGTTATCACTGCGGCGAAGCTGGCCATCTTTACCGGATGTGTGCATATCGCCGAGCTGGACTTCGGGGTTTTCCCATAAACGCTGCCTGTCCACGGAATGGGGAGCGACCTTTTGAAATCGAGGAGTACTTGTCAACGCGTCAAGGGGCTCACTCCTCGCAGCAGCATCAGTCTCGGTCGACAGCGCCACTGAGGTATCGGTCACCAAGTCCGCGCCCATCTTCAAACTCTCCGAGGCGACTTCCCCAAAGCCCGCTTCGGGAAAACTAGAATCAGCGACCTGGGGAGGTAAGGCCGCTGCCGACGCAAGAAAACAACCTCCAGTGCCGATTTCAAAATGTGATGACGGACACGAGACTACGTGCGGAAATGGTAACGTCGCTTCTGATTTGTCGGTAATTATAGACGGCTACGAAACGAATGCTTTAGTAGACACAGGCGCAGACTATTCCGTCATGAGCAGGGGACTTGCCAGAACGCTGAAAAAAGTGCTGACACCTTGGATAGGACCACAAGTGCGAACCGCCGGGGGACACCTTATCGATCCGGCAGGCATGTGTACCTCTAGAGTTGGGATACGCGGCTTCACCTACGTCGCCAGCTTCATTGTCCTGTCGGAGTGTTCAAGAGATGTAATTATCGGAATGGACTTTTTGCAGGCCAATGGCGCAGTGATAAACTTGCAGGAAACGTGCGTCTCGTTCTCGACGAAACACGCCATCGCAACTTTCGAGAGTGAAAAACGATTCGATGCGCTCCAGATTGCAGGTGATGATGTAACAGTACCTGCAAGATCCATCATCGTTGTCACCGTAAAAAGCAATGTGTACAACGACTATCAAGGAATGGCAGAAAGCAATACTGGGCTATTACTCGAGAAAGGGATCTGTGCAGCAAGAGGTATTGTACGACTGCGTGATGGGTTTACGAGTGTCTTCCTGACAAATTTCCGAAATGAGGTGCAGCACCTTGCGAAGGGAACTGTGGTTGGTCACTTGCATGATTACGTTCCGATTACGGATTTGAATTCTTCCGAGACTGCACCACTGCACCCTGACGGTATAGATTTCATACTCGCATCTATCCACATCGAAGCAGCCCTATCACCGAACCAGAAACAAAAATCGAGAGCCTTATACGGGAGTACGCCTCATGTTTTTCCACGTCATCGAAAGTGCAAAGAACATCTATCATCAAACACCGCATCATAGTCGATCAATCTGTTAGACCTATTTGCCAGCACCCGTACCGAGTTTCACCAAAAGAGAGAGAAGTCATCAGAGGCCAAGTTGAAGAAATGCTCAGGGACGACGTAATTCAACCGTCGGCCAGCCCATGGGCCTCACCTGTAGTACTGGTAAAGAAAAAGGACCAGACCTTGCGCTTCTGCGTTGACTACCGAAAATTGAACGTCGTCACAAAGCGGGTTGTCTATCCCCTTCCAAGGATCGATGACACCCTTGACAGACTACGAGACGCGAAATTCTTCTCCTCTCTAGACCTCAAGAGCGGATACTGGCAGATAGAGGTGGACGAACGAGATCGCGAGAAAACTGCTTTCTTGACCCCAGATGGGTTATACGAGTTCAAGGTACTCCCATTTGGCCTGTGTTCCGCAACCGCCACATTTCAGTGGATGATGGATACTGTGCTGTCCGGATTAAAATGACAGTCCTGCCTTGTTTATCTCGATGACGTCGTGATCTTTTCGGCCACCTTCGATCAGCATGTGGAACGACTACGTACTGTGCTCGAAGCGATTAGTTCAGCAGGGCTGACGATAAAACCCCAAAAGTGCCATTTTGGTTTTCATGAACTGCTTTTCCTCGGTCATGTGGTTAGCTCTGAAGGCATTCGACCTGACCCCGAAAAGACAGCAGCTGTAGAAAAGTTTCCTAGACCGACAGATAAAAGGGCTGTGAGACAATTCTTAGGACTTTGTGCCTATTACAGAAGATTCGTTAAAGATTTTTCGAAGATTGCGGAGCCACTAACCCGACTGACGAAAAAAGACATGCCTTTCACCTGGACAAGCGAGCAAGAAGAGGCGTTCAATGAGCTACGACAGCGACTCCTACACCACCCTGTCCTGGCACATTTCCACGAAGAAGCTGAAACAGAGATTCACACGGACGCAAGCAATTTGGGACTAGGCGCCGTCTTTGTGCAGCTGCAAAACGGAGAGGAAAGAGTGGTCGCATATGCTAGTCGCACTCTTTCGAGAGCTGAAATAAATTATTCGGCGACGGAAAAAGAATGTCTGGCGGTAATATGGACCATACAGAAATTCCGACCGTACTTATATGGTAGACCATTTCGAGCAGTGAGCGACCATCACTCGTTGTGCTGGCTCGCAGGCCTAAAGGACCCTTCTGGGCGACTTGCTAGATGGAGCCTCAGGTTGCAAGAATACGACATAACAGTCGTATACAAGTCGGGTCGCAAGCACAGCGATGCTGATTGCCTATCACGCGCACCAATGGAATCTGCACCTGGGGAAGATGGAGACGACTTTCCGTTTCTTGGGGCCGTGAGCACCACTGACATGACTGAATATCGGCGATCTGACGCGGAGTTGCTTAAACTGATCAAGCATCTGGAAGGGCAACCCGTGCGTGTTCCTCGAGTTTTCGTCCGGGGATTGTCCTCGTACCTCATGAGAAACAACGTTTTGTACAAAAGAAACTTCGAGCACAGCAAGGAGAAATTCCTACTCGTCATTCCTTCGGCCTTGCGACCCGAAATCCTGGAAGCCTGCCACGATGACCCAGCAGCAGGACACCTCGGAGTGAGTAGAACATTGGCTCGCATCCGCACAAAATACTACTGGCCAAAGTTACTGGATGCTGTACAGCATTATGTAAGGACATGTAGAGATTGCCAGAGACGCAAAACGCCTCTATCGAAACCTGCAGGATTTCTCCAACCAATTGAACCACCTGAGTCTCCGTTCGAACAAGTAGGAATGGATCTACTTGGTCCATTTCCCACGTCATCAATGGGCAACCGATGGATAGTAGAGGCGACAGACTACTTAACCCGGTATGCCGAGACAGCCTCTCTCACCTGGGGCACGGCTATAGAAGTAGCTGAATGTTTCGTCACTAACATTGTACTACGGCATGGTGCCCCAAAGGTGGTTATCACGGATCGAGGAACTGCATTCACAGCCAATCTGACGCAGTCCATTATGAAACTTACCCACACAAG